CTTGTATTAATGCGTAACAGAATCTCATGTTTCCTTAATGCTGTCTTTGTATATTTCTGTGTTGTTGTGCATATCCTTCTATCAATACTCAATCAAAACTAGCCCGATGCCCGAACAAAATTCTGTCTACGTCATTAACGCTCCTTAATTGCAGGGTTAATTAAACTTTAATGCAAGCGTAAACTTTTTCACTTACGAAAGTTACGGAAACCGCCAATACGGCGTCGGCTCGCCACCTGCGACAGTATTGGTACTTGAGTTATTACGAGGTCAGGTAGATCGTAAATGGAGGGAAATCACCCTTAGGGCTGACGAAAAGAAATTTCTTTTAGCTCTCGTATCGATCGAGAGCGAGTGCGAACAATGCGGCGCACGGCAAATCTGTCTAATGTCTTCACAGAAAAAACATTCGCAGTGGTACGCGATTCGATGACCGACAATAATCTAATAATTCAGTATTTTTTTTAAGGCAACTGCTCTACTCTTCTCTATGTTCATTTTCTTGAAATACGTACGGAAAAATATACGTCTCTCGCAGAGACAGCAAATGGCTAACAAGAAATAAAACGCAATATGGAATTGCAATAATCTATTTCGCGGAACTGATCATCAATATCATCTTAAAAAACAAGAACAAAATGTTTCCGAAGTACAACCTTGGGCGAAAAACTGTTATCGCATAAATGTCATAATATGATGAGAGCGCAGGAGCAATTCAATATTAATTCAATATCTCATGTGTTGACATCACGGTACATTTAACATTGCGATAACATTTCTTGCTGCATTATGAATATAACAAAATGTAGACATTGGTTTTGTGAATTAAAGTGTAAACAAGAACGGAAATGTAACTTCCAATAATGGTCGGTCGTTATAGGATAAATCGACAGAGCGAAGACGGTCTAACCTACCGCAAATTCGTCGGGCCATGTGTCCGAATTTGATTATTTTCTCAACCCAATTAACAGCCATCATTTGGTCCGTGATACTCTCCAAGAGGAAAACGGTTAAAACGAATCTCGTCATAGGTCGTTAAAATGTTTACGACACTAGCCGAGATTTCGCGTTTTACACGTGGAAGTATCCTTCGTTCCCGCAAAGAAATACGACAACGACGGATATTCTACGATTGTCGGGGGAAAAAATCACACTCTATCCGTGAGAAAAATATAATACTATAGAAATCTTATTCATGCCATATTATTTGATATATCTTACATTCAAGTACTGAATTATCTAAGGGAATATTTATCATATGTAAAGAGATATCTTATTATGTTACATCTCATTATGTACGTATACTATTTCTTTTGTTTTAAATTACAGAAGTCTAGTAATAATTCAATTGTGAGCTATTGTTACAAAAAGATTTAGAAAATTTCTGAAACTTTTTTGATTCTAAATTTTAAGTAGTATTCACAAGGCGTGCAGTCGTCTAAAATGTGATTAGACCGTGTCAAGATCCCCTGCGTTACGTCACTTCTAGAGCGGCTGTACTATAAATATTCTTGCCCTACATTTTCTTTGAAGCTGGTGTACAAATTGGTGTTAATATGAGGTATGCAAATATTTGTAGAATATAATTACAATACAATACTAACGAAGAGAGTCATATTTACCACCAATTATTTTATTCTTAAGAGCGGAGTGTCGCAAGAAGATAAATTAAACGAGAAGCGAAGATTATAGAGTGACGGGTAACGGATATAGGAAGTTTAATCAAAAACGCGCAAAAACATAGAAAATCCGTTCCTCTGACAGAAGTGCCTACACGTACGTGCAAACATTTTCCAAACATGCTCCAAATAAAAAGCGCGAAAGCTGTGGATTATTTATTGCAAGTGCAGTATTAAAACTTACACAGATCGTCGGCGTTTTTTTATTAATTTTTTATAAGTCTCGCAATTGTAAATACGCGAACGCGACATTTTCTTCTAAAATCATTGCAAGTGTGCTTACCCATCCGTTTTTTTTTTACAAACATTAGAAAGCACAATTTTACTCGCGTCGCGCTCTTTTTCCGATAACCAATGTTTTTCCAATGACTGGTTGCAATCACGGGTGATAGATATAGAAAGTAATTTCTTCTTTCTTTTGAACTGATATTTAGGAATGAGTAAACCTAAAACGAAGTACATCACAGCATTCAATACGCATGTAAACTGTGCCATTAGTTGCGAAAACTTCATCAATGAATCTATATTAATTGTAGAAATTAATAAATCCGTAATAATCATAGAAATGTATATCCAAATGAGATGCAATATTACTAATAGTCCTATACACAATGCATTGCTTTCATAGATCTGCATTATGCAATGTGTTCGCTGTAGGAATTAGAGAGAGCCAGTTCTACTCTCTACTCAGAGATTTCATCACACGTACAGTTTGCTACTGTCTGCTGTTCTCCTCTAATCCATCCATAAGTTATACATGAGAATCAGTAATACAGCTACTGGAATGTTGCCAAATCATATGATCCAATGGAATCGAATCCGTTCAGTTTACCTCAACTTAATTTCTACTATGTTCTTTACGAATCAATAAAAAATATGTACAGTAACAAAAAAGCCAAATTATATTAAAAAATAATTTTTAATTTTTGAAGCGGTGATGTTTTGTTATATCTTATATTTAAGACCTCTTTGAGTTTCACCTTCGAAGACGTGATTTTTCATATCTCCGATCAGATTTCGCTTTGCTATTTCAGTTACGCTGTAACGCCACGAATGGCGAAATAGAGGCGAAATGTGAATGCAACTAAGTTAATAACATTTTAGCATCTCTCTTGAACGGTACGGTTTGCTTTTCATAGGTCCTAATCCTATTTCATCCTACTCTTCGTAGTCCTGTTTATAGGCTTTAAATTTAGATCGGATTTATGGCAGGTAAGTTATAAATCCCTTCATCATACACTGTCACTCATACATAGAACGAAACAGTATACTATGCTGCATCCGATATGAGCCACGTTTAACGTCACATCGCTCCCGTTCGTGAAATGTCAACGTTAAATATAAGTACTTAATATAAGTATATATTCCAAGATTCAAAGAACATGAATGCGAAGAAAATATTTCTGATTCATGTCCGATACAAAGCTCTTTTGCTTTTGTCACGTTGTCTTTTCGCATAAGCCAGCTTTACGTCACAGTTATCCTTCTATAAAGCTAAATCTCAGAGTTTACAAATGGCATGGCAAAGACAGGTCGAAAATGGGTAATGATATAGTGAAGCAAAACACGGAGAATCGCATGGCCCATTGCCAATTAAAGTTTTTGAAGCAAGAGATATATAGGTACAATTTATCGATCATAATCAACAATAATTGTACCCTATGTCTTGTAATTTATTTCTAATAATTAAAAATAATATCTTTTTGTAAGTATAACTATTATTTTAGCTTTTATCAGAATTTAACGTGAGATTTGTCCCAGTCTTTCTTAGATTTATCCATTTTCTTTTATCAAGAGAAACAATCGTAATACGTGGAAGGCGCGAGGATTTAGTTACCAATCTGTCAATCTGTGTCGAAGGATTAACCTTATCATTGCTTGACCGATATCCTTGCACATAGCTAGTGGCATACCTCCTGTGTGAATTGTGTGAAGTATTTCGTAATCGATTAACGGCTAACGATATATATCCGTGAAAGATTACTCCTACACGTTCTAACGCGTTCTACACAACAGCTATGCACGGCGCACATTTAACATTTGAAACTGTATCGAAAATTGCGACGATCTGTAAAGTGCTTACAGGATTACAAATTTCAAAAGAGTACTACGAGTAATACGTTCACAAACAAGTTTGTGAGCGCAGCTCACTTTACTTTACAGGTGCGAAATATAATCTACCGATAAGTAGGAGTTAAAGGATTACAAGCTGATTACAGAGACAAGTTCTCAAAGTTGGTTTAGATTTCGATTAGTTTCTGATGGCTTTTTAAGACAATAAAATAAAACAAGTAAGAAATTTCTAACACAAGTTATCTAAATTGCATTTATTTGCTAGCGATAATTACGAAATAAATGTAATTATTGTTTGAAGGTAAATTTTGGATAATATAAATAAATTTAATAATTTACTTTTATGTTTGGACAAAAAGCTCTTTTTTAAGAGAATAAATTTACATTAAAAAATTATAAAGAATCTTAAAAAGATTTTAAACTTTCCAATTAATAAAACTGGAAAAAATAAAAACAAAATTAATACAAATTAACAAAAAAAAACCAAATTAAAAATCATTCAAAATATGTAAGAATAAATATGGTAACTAAGAAGAATTAATAAATATATTAATTAAAATGGATTAATAAATATGTTAATTAAAAAATGTAATAAATATGTTAATTTTGAAACAATTATCTTTATGTGCATTTTTTGTATCTCAATATAATGAGGTCAGTTTATCTCATGCCATGTGTCATTCTATTCTGATTCCTATCAGGCAATTAAATTGTTTGATATTTCCAAGAGAACTTACATTTTTAATAAAAATTTATTCTTAAATTTTAAAATAGATATTGTTTTTATAAGTAATAAACTGTACTTCCAATATGCAAAAAATTAAAATGTTGCAGGAGAAAAAATTAGAAAGAATCAAATGTAAAATATACACCATCTCTGATTGTATACCTATATACATATAAAACACTTTGAATATTTGTCAGATGCGTTAAACACCAAATGCATTAAATAAATAAATTGCGGCATTACATCAGACCCAGTTAATTATAATATAATATAGGATTATATTTTTACAAACAATTTAATAAATCTCCAATAATGGAATATTTAACATTAGAGTTTAGCCACGTTATTACAGATGTTGTTATTTTGTGGTTTTACCATATTTTAAACATCGATTATTCAATATGCTTATACATGTATATTGGGGCTGTTTCGCATTAACAGCACATAAACCAATAATATATAAATTAGTTTCAAACTTTGTATATACAAAAATTATCAACGTTTTCTTTGTTATTTTACAGCCGGTGCATATCACTGACATTGACGTTGGAGGCTCTATAATTTGGATAACGAGGAAGAAAGATCAAAATGCAAAGAGGATCATATTCTCGTTAACGGCAAAAAAGCGCTTGAATTGGAACGGAATGGCCATGTCGTGGCCATATGCGACAAGTGCCTCACCATCCTCCTCGATTACAATCTTCATGATGACAACACGATTAACGCCACTGGCATTAATAACAAATTACACGGAAGTCAATGACTCTAGCAATATCACGAAAGATATCAACGAAGAGGAGGAGGAGTATACGCCGTACAGCGACCGACCGGAAACATATATAGTACCGATCGTCTTTCTTTTGATCCTGCTAATCGGCCTGACTGGAAATGGCGTGCTCGCTCTTACGATCCTTCGACACACAAACATGAGGAACGTACCAAATACGTATGTTCTCTCGCTGGCACTTGGGGATTTACTGGCACGTAACATTTATATACGCATGTATCTATGGTAGATATATACAGATTCCTTTCTACAGGAAATCCTGTGACGCGTACAAAACTGCTCGTACATACCCACCACAAATCATTAATTTAAGCAAGCTTATATGTTCCGATATACGAAAAGCTGGCCAATATTTGTGCAGTTATAAATATTTATCAAGAAATATTTGTCTTCTATTTAAATGATGCCTTATTTTATACGTTATATTGCATTGCATATAATATTATTATACCAATTTATTTAAATTATATTTTATAAATACACATACTCCGTATAAAATACCCCCCCCTCTCTCTCTCTCTCTCTCTTTAATAATATGTTCTGTTTTTTTTAGTATTTGCCATTTCTTTTCCATTTTAATTGTAAATTATGTCCATGTCGTAAACAGATCGATATTTAATGTGACAATTTTAATATCACGAAAAGGAAAATGTAAAGGATTCGGAAATCATAACCAATTGAGACTGAATATGGCGCATAGAAGAGAATTGTATAAAGTTGCTATCATTTTATCGGAATGGTGAAACTCAAGATTAATGTTATTAGTACTAAAACATTAGTACAGCAACTATAACAAATACAATATTATGATAATTCTTAACACGTGCAAATTCTTACACACAAATTCTTTTTCAATGTAATAAAATAAAGACAATATAAATATTTTAATTCTTTTTAAGAACGTACAATTCATTAAGAATACTTTTATAATAAATGGAATTGACATCGATCATGAATAATCTGTGTACGATCGAGTTAGTAAAACGTTAGAAAGTTTTGACATAACGTCATCTTAAACTTTTGACGGATAGCAAATTGCCATTTCATCTTTTTCTCTTTCAAAAGTCTCTTTAAATTTCCGACGAAGTTTCTCTTTGAAATAAATACGTGTAATCGTCGAAAATTGAAATCGTTATGCAGGAAATTAACAAAGTTTGTCATCTGTAGTATATTAACTTTAACATAAAATACCTATGTCAAATATTTCCTTTTTTACGGTATAAAAATTTATTATCTCACAGTTATTACATGTATATATAAAAATAAAATTTTGCATTTGCAGTGAACAGCAAGTGATAGTTTTGTTATCAGATTTAGTGCACTTGGTTACATCAGGTGGAAGAGCAAAATCGATCGGTTTCAGTATGACGTCGGTAGATACATACAGTAGCACGAGTCCGTCGATTCTCGCACCGTCGCTTCACGGCAAATCCTATGTAATGCGGATGGCTCGACTCACGCCTCTCAGCCATGCATACCAAACAATAGTGTTAACGCAACCTGAAGGTGGTTCTTAGCCTGTAACATTGACCAGCTATCATTCCTGGAATTTCAGGCGACAGTTTCTCTGTCCGATAAGCTGCTGTCCAAGAGTTTAAAACGCTTCTTTTTAGGTTACACAAACAAGTAGCTTACATTTTCGTCACTGTTACACTGTTACACGTGGTATGCATCGCGGTGAGCTCACGCGAACTTACAATGGCAGATATTTCCTACCGTTTTAACGTGAAAGTCTGGTATCGATGGTTGCGGTCTGTTCTGTCACAGACTACTCAAATATCAGATTTCGAGTTGAGGTTTTAACAGATGTTGACGGTATAAATTGAATAAAAGCAATTCAGATTGAGCTTTTAGTTGTAATCGAATCTCCAAGTATTAAAGTTTTACACAGTATACATCGCTCTAAGTTACCATTATTTTCTTGTTGCGTTTGATCCATCATTATTGCATAATTCTCTATTTTATTCTACAGGTAATAGTAACATGCATCCCATTCACCTTTACCGTCTACATTTTGGATTCCTGGCCTTTCGGATTAGTACTATGCAAACTTTCCGAGTGTGCGAAGGACATATCTATCGGAGTTTCCGTTTTCACTCTAACTGCCCTCTCAGCAGACAGATTTTTCGCAATCGTGGATCCTATGCGAAAATTGCATGTCACAGGTATAAATAAAGCTACATATATAACTGTGCGACTCGAGATTATACTCCAAGAAATCACGCGATGCAGATCAATAAGACAAATGAGTTTATTGCTAATGCAATAATCTAAACGATAATCGATATTGATTAATTAAAATAGTATATTTTTATGGAGATAAATAAAACTTGCATTCTTATGAGACAAAAATAAGAAATAATGAATAGAGATTAAATTATGATTGATTGTTTATTCAAGGTAGTGGAAGACGAGCAACACGCTTCACCGCAATCGTTGCGGTACTAATTTGGGTCTTGGCTATAATATGCGCGATCCCGGCTACCTTTTCGTACATCAGAGTCTTCAGGGTTAACCCAAACATAAGCTTTTGCGTAAGTCGGATTATCGCGCTCATAACTAATCTCATTTTAGATTTAGTCTCCGAAACTCGTCATTAACCGCTGTATGTAGATTGCTAAAACGAATTATGTACTTCTCTAGTTTCACAAAGCAAAGGTCTAATAATTTCGATATGATATGTGTATCATATAATTGAAGGTATGTTACCCGTTCCCCGAGGAATTTGGACCAAACTATCCAAAGGTGATACTGATATGTCGCTTTTTCATCTACTACCTTATACCTCTCAGCATCATTGCCGTTTTCTATATGTTGATGGCCAGACATCTTATGCGCAGTACGAGAAATATACTCGGCGAGATGCAAGGCCAGGTAACTTGTATACATTTAATTACAATTTAATTATAATAAGTGAAAGTACTAAGATGTTTCGACAAAATTTAAGTTCTCTCTTCCCATTTGTATATCTACTTCTACCTATATTTTTAAATCTGTCTTATCATCCGCGAACGATCTTAGTTCAAGATTTACAGCATTACTGTAGCCTCACGATAGTTTATACAGTAAATATCATGTATTCTTTTGCGCGTATATTAATGCCCACTGTGTTTTAGGTGAAGCAAATACAAGCCCGTAAAAAGGTAGCAAAAATGGTAATGGCTTTTGTCATTGTGTTTGCAGTTTGCTTTTTCCCACAACATGTTTTCATGTTGTGGTTTTATATTCACCCAACTGCACAAAAGGATTACAATGCCTTTTGGCACTACTTTCGTATTTTGGGTTTCTGCCTTGCCTTCACCAACAGTTGCATCAACCCTATCGCTCTCTACTGCGTGAGTGGTACTTTCAGAAAGTACTTTGACAGGTAAGCTTAAAGCTGTAATATCTCTAATAGCAGCGACAAGTCGATTAGCTCCGTCAAACGTTGTAGATTAAGGAAAAGGAGTAACAACTTCTTGCAAAAATAACTTCAAGAAATGAGTAAATATTATTCCAGTTTGTAGTTGAATGTCATTATATATACATATATCGTATTATTTATACAATTCTTGTGCACGGAGCGAATTTTTTTAAATTTATTCTGAATATTATGTAATCGTGGGACAACATGACATTTCGAAGATTTTGTGAGTTTTTTGAAATTTTACCATACATTTTACTAGTGGAATGTATGATAAAACTTAAAAAAAAAACTGTCATGACGTTCTTCAAAATGTCATGTTGTCCCACAAATACGTCATTTTCAGACTAAATTTTAAGAGAAAATTCTATCCGTGTGTTATTTAATCACGACTAATTGTAAGTAAATTTATATTAAAACATTTATATTTTTAATGATATTTTGTCACACTTTAGACTGCTGAATCGCGATGTATTTAATCGTGAAACTTGAAGGAAAAGAAGTCAAATTTTTCATACACACATACCACTTACAAATAATTAACGCATCGCTCTACGCAGCTTTTCCTTTTTCTTAAATTCTACGCAGCAAGAAATAACTCGCCGATCGATATCGAAACGATATCGAATCGACATCTATCAACGAATCATTTCTTGCTGAATAAATAAAATCCTTCGAAATTTCTTTCTTGATCGATACGCTCAGTTGACTGATCATATCTAAACAACTTTGTAACTTGTGTTAGATACTTGTTGTGTTGCGCTACAAAGAGGATGCGAAGACGACATCGACGATCGTCAGATCTAAGTTCGCGCGGACGAGGGCAAAGTTTTTCACTTGTCAGTTCAAGAAAATACTTGGGCGATTCTCGCCGAGAACAACGAAGTGTAATGCGCCTCTCTATGATGGCGGGTGATATACGATCGACAACTCCGATTAAAGAGCAAGAAACTACTATCACTCTGTCGGCGTATCCAAATGGCATTGATGAATCATTAAGAAATCAACGAGCACCGACAGAATCGACCGTACACGATCGATTAGTTACTTAAAGAATATATCAACGTCATATTTCTTCGTATAATCGTTTATATAAAATAATTTTGGTGTCATTTAATATTGATTAAGTAAATATATATTTTAATGATGTGTCTTCTCACAATTCAAGCTTTAGATTGCTGATTCCTGATATATTTAATCGTTGCATTTGAAGGAAAAAGTAATAAAAATTTTCATATACCCGTTACGAGTAATTAAAATCGTTAATATTTGGGTGATTTTGTTGTCATATTTAAAAAACATGCTTAATTGGCGTAATTTAGAATAATCGCAATAAATACATGATGACAGAGTACACAAAAGTGGTATAGTTGTACCACTTTTATACTTTTACATTAACGGCATTTAATAAAGGTTTGATAATGTTTAATATGCCATCAAGTGTTTATTGGAATGTCACGTAAATAAATTTCTGTTTCGATACATTTATATTTATCGTGTACAAAGAATCATATTTGAATTTAAGACATTAATAATAATAGAATTAGCGATAATAAACGATAAACGAAATCAAATAAATTGACTTCGTGCTTTTATGGAAAATTTTAGCATGTATCGTCCGACCAATAAATATTACATTCCGCCGAATAAGTTACAGTATTAAAAGTTATGAACGAATGTATACTGCTATTTGTATAGAAAAATAAATATGTAGAAATCAAAGTTATTATAAAATAATTCACATCATTGTAAAGATAGCGTAATGGAAAAAGAATTATTTACAAATTGATGGAGCGATAAAATATGATCTCGATTGTACATGGAAAAAATAAAGAATTCTGCATCGGCAACCGAATTATATTTTTGTGATATGTGTCTGTAATTAATTAACGCATATCTATATTAGTTTGTATTTGCAATGTAAACAAAGAATCCAAGAGTTAAAAATAAAAAAATAAAAAATCAAATGGCTATTATTATAAATATTAAAATATATGCAAATTAAATATAGAATATTATAAACTGGAACTGGATATACATATGTATAACATATAAATATTTTATAACAAATTTGTAGTAAGTCTTTATCATATTTATTACATTTTTATCGGAAGAAAAAGTTATAACCTTAGTTTATTCAATTTGATAAATTTTATTAAGTAAACGAAATTTCGCGTAAAGTAAAAACTTTATATAGCACCAATGAAAAAAAAAATTAATACCGTGTACAAAAATTTATTACAATAATATAATATTTGTTTCGATCGAGTTGCGATACCAGTTGGTTCCAATATTAAATTAAATTAAATTTTTATTTTTGTTCAATTAAGTTACTTTAGATTGTTGATTCCTGATATATTTAATCGTTGCATTTGAAGGAAAAAGTAATAAAAATTTTCATATACCCGTTACGAGTAATTAAAGTATGATATTTTGGTAGCTGGCTTTTTAAATAACAATTTATCTATTCTTCGAACTTTCACCTTTATCGTATCAGTTGCATTGAAAAAGAAGCAAGTAAAATGTATAAGTATCAGATTTGCAATCAATAAAAAAAACTTTTCAGTGTTGAATGTGAAATAAATATTTATAGTAAATTTATTTTACAAAACACGATATCATGTAAGCTGATATTTTTCTTACATTCATAATTAGTAATATATTTGCGTAGAGACTCCCTGTGCAATGTTGATAAAATTGTAGTCTATAAATATTCGTTGTAAAAGTGTTTTGTGCTCAAAACCAAATTTACATATTTCTAAAAAAATTGAGTTTATTACGCGATCTAACGGCTTTGTAACAGAGCAGCTGCAAGTATATTACATTTCTATGCAAATTCCTATTTCCATATTCTTCTACCATAACGAAAATGTCAAATCTCTTTTCTCAAAGAAGAAAAAGATGCTTTCCTTTTAAATCTCTGATATTACTATTTAAATTGTACATAACTAAATCATATTACACAATATCTTATGTTGTGCAATACATGTTTTACGTCGATCATTAATTTCATAATAACACAAAATATCAATAGTTTTGTTGCAAGTAATCGTTTTTTTTTCAGCAAAGACGAAAGTAATATTGTGTGACACAAAAAAAACTATATTCTTAATTAAACAAAAAATAGCGTATACTGCTGCATGTTATCGTTTATTGAAAATTGAATGTTAGTGTTTGATATTTTTTACTATCGGTAACTTCCTAAATACAACAGAGTTCCTATCATAGGTAGGTAAACACTTATCTTGTATCATTTGAGTTAAAAGTCATTTTGTTCGCATTTCCGTATCGCAACACACAAAAACTCACTCACAAAAGTGATAATTAATTATAATCACGCCACTTTATGTGACATTTTCAATGTTAATTATCCTCGAGACTCTATTGTATTTAAAAGAAGATCCGAGGTCACAGATCGTGCGAAAATATGCGATATATGTATAGTTTGACATTCTCGTCGCTTGGTACATTATCACTGATAAAGATCGTGCGAAATTATTACTTGTACCTGCTTGACCGTGCTTGACCAAGTATACTCATCACTTTGATACCCGCGCGAATCACTGAACGTAACACTTATTAGTTAATTTAATTGTACAAGTTAATGCGTATTATATGTGAAGACTGGCCGAGAGAACCGAACGTTATGACAAACGAAATTTGAGCAGTCTATCGGCAGAAGCTTTCTTCCGGACGGTGACCTCGCGTTAACAATTATAATACAGTATTCGTCTATCAACGAAAATAACATTACGTGTATTGTATATCACGATGTCACTCTTTAAAGTATTTTAACACTTTATTTAAACAAGATTCTTCGTGCAACTTTAAACAATCGTCCCTATTCATTTCATATCCATCGAGTTATACATTAACGGCGCTTGCGGCGCCTAAATGTTTGAATCTGCCGGCAATTTCGCGCAATACTACGCGAGTCAAATAAATAGCTATTAAAGATACGCGGTTAATTAATAAAAAATACATAATTAAAATTAAATATCGGACGCACAATATCTCGAAAAGGATACGTTCAGCTCAGGACTTAAACATATGTATTATATTTCCAATTCATACATGTATATCCAATGTTTATGTCCAGATATGAACGATAATGTACAAGAAATGGAAATAAAAATTTCAATTATTACTGTAAATTAGTGCATTATTGTTAATAAATATCTGCATGTAGTGTATACTTGACTATATTAACTATAGAAATACATATTTAATTGTGTTCCACGTTTTCCCTAAACAATCTCTTCCTGAACAGTGAATGGTAAGTTTAAATTTTATTGATTGCGTAGGTAAAATTTTTTCAAAATATTCATTGGATAAAGAACTTTTTATATATATATTTTTCCTATCAGTATCTCTATACATGTATATAACAAATTTTAATTATGATTTTATACTATATGTTTAATAATTTACTTTGGTTAAAGAAAAAAAGAAGAAAAAAGTATAAGTCACAAAAATAACGAATTTAACATCGATAGGAATAAATGACATATGAATACATTAATTACCAAAAATTATAGAATGTAATTTTTCATAAAAATACACCCGTTAAAATAAACAATATTGATCGCATAACTACTATACATCAGCAAAGACACAGAGTTTACGATAGATGGCAACACTGTAATGATTTTGGCCAATTATATTGTTTTACTAAAAGTTTATATTTCAGTAGGATAGCTAGGATGGTCCCAACCCACATATGATATATTCAAACACAAAATAAAATATATAATAATTTTCAAATAAATAATATTATAGAATAGAACAATACGGCTCTAAAGAATAAAAAGTCAAAGAATAAAAGAGCTGAAAGCCTTGACTCGGTGTTAGTGTCAAATTAATAAAAGTTTCGTATATTTAGAACAAACGTTTCGGTCTTAGTTCAGACCATTTTCAGTGTATACAGGGTGTCTGATGCAAAAGTAGCAATTTTGGAAATAGCGGTAGATTGGGTTAAACTAAGGAGAAATATCATGTACCGAGGTACAAAGTAACAATAGTTATCAACATATAAATTTATACGTTTGAGCG